GTCTCTTTGACATATTCCCCATTTCCATTTTCAATTTTACATAGTTCTAAATCCCTTTAGTGGAACTTTGAACAAAAATAAGAGTTTTTTTTTTTCTATTTCTAAAGAATAACCCTTCCACTTCATTCAAGCATTTCTGGACAGGTAAATACCACCTGATGTTATGATGCAACACATTGTACAGGTATTATATCATTTAGCCGACGTGTAGATTATATGAAAAGTTTATAGCAGATCCTATCGTCTTCATCAGGAGACATATGATGAGACAACTCTTACAAGAAACATGGAATTCATATATATATTAACAACAAAACATCTACTGACAGTTTCCATGGAAACATCTTAATGACAGATTCCATATAAACATCCATTGATAAATAAAGCAATGAATAATATAATTGTAATAACAACTGGCAAAATAAATTATAACAACAAAAAAATAACTGAGGCAATTATTTAAATCTCTGATTATGAGTGACTCTTCACTTCATTGGTCGATCTCCTAATGAAAGGTGTGGTGGCTTAATGGGAATGTTCATACATTATTTTTCTCTGGAAACAGAATATATTAATTAATCTAGCTTTAATATGGACAGTTCTAAGCATAGATCATTCTTTTATTTTTTTTTATAATAAGCTGGAATAGTTTAATCAACTTTTCAAATTAATTTCCCCCAAAATCCTGGTCTACTTTAACAGAGCTTGTTTAAATTCTCTTTCATTCTTTATTTTGTTAAAAATATTACCATAAAGCTTTTAAGTCTCTTGTTTGACTAGAGTTTAGTAAATTTACCTCTTCAGTTTCAAATTTGATCTTAAGGAAATCAACAAGCTCGATGCTAAAATGCTTTTCTTTTTGTTTAGTTATATACCATGAGAATTTGTACAAAATTATTTTGAAAAAAGAGGAAAATCCAGAAACCAAACTGGTAAAACCCTTTGGTAAATTATTTTTAGAAAATTCCAGAGAACTTTGATGAAGTCTACAATGAATATGATAGGATGCTTTGAGCACCAGCAGAATGATGCAAACAAGTGCATGTAAGTCACTGGTTACATAACAAAAAACAATCTTGTCAAAATAGCACAATTATAACGAATAACAACAGCAGAGTGGTTCCACTTTTGACGAAAAATTTCCGTTGTAAAATATTAAGGCTTTCTCACATGTATTATTCTTAAGTGTTTTTGGGAAAACATCAACCTTAACTGAGAAGTCATTAGTTTTAAATGATACCAATTTCAACAAGAAAATCAAAGAGCTACCCTATAATTACAAAGCATACCAAACATTTTCTTCCTTAATTCATAATTCATCAATTCATTTATTTGACTGATAATCAGGAAAACTTAATTCAAGTTGTTAACCAATAAAATTAAAATTAGATTTAACAGATGTCATATACAGAATGGTAGTCAACTGTGGCTTACAGCTTGGAGTCTTATCTACAGTTTTTAAAACTTTTGTAGAATTGTAATCTGGTAAAACTGGTACCGATTTAATACTAATGAATTCACAGTGATGAACTGTAACGTAGATAAAAATAACAGTTCAGTGTACAACCTGTATTCATTTTCCATGGCCAAAACCTGAAGCTTATTTTATTTTATTTTTTTTAAGTGTATAAAACCTAAATGAATTTTATAAAATTTTTCAAAAATGAATTATATAATTATTATTCTATAAATGGAAATTTTTTTGGATATTCTTTTTAGCAACTTTATAAAATCTGTTCTTTTCAATTTAACATGCAAATCACTTGGTCACAATCTCTTCACAAATAATGCATCATATTATCACCATGGAAACATGAATACAGATTTGCAGGAAGACACCATGGTAACACACAACCCCTATCAACAATAACAGCTAACTTATAGAAAAATACACCCTGAACACAATTCATTATGAGCAACAACCGACTATGGGAATTTTTCTTGCTTAATGAGATATATTACTTCTAAATATCTAAAATTGTCATCCTTGAAGGATCATCTTTTTTTAAATGACTCAATGTTTTATAACATTTTCGATCTCATTTATTTGTGCAAGAAAAATTCCCACGTCCCAGCTTTAAGCATGTTACAATCATAAAAACGTTAAAAAATCTAACGTATTATTCCATCTCTGGTTTGTAACATGTTTAAACACTGATTATATAGCACAAAGCAATTTTTTTTGTTTTTTGTTTTTTTTTTGTTTTTGTTTCAAAGACAACAATAGACTATATGGCATGCATGTTTGTTTCCCAGTGTATATCAAATATACACTTATATAAATGTTTGTTTCCCTGTGTATATCAAATATACACTTATATAACAGGTCTATCAATACAAAAAAGTTAAAAAAAATTATCTTAGAAAATTATCAAAATTTGTACAAAAACACCGACTTTGTCCACTTAATAATAATAATGCCAGCAACCTATATAATGGGAACATCTTGTTTGTACATCAGTTTATTTCAAGAAGAGTATTCGTCTCAAGTCTTTTTTTTTTTTTTTTGAGACCATCATTAATTTTAAGTTTCAATCATTTTTCATTTTAAAATTACAATTAAGAACTTGCTAACAAAATATGGTACAATACCCATTGCACAAATTCACAAATAAATTAAAGCTATTAAAAATGTGCTAGTTCCAGCACATGATGAAATAAAACAAATAAATTCTGTGGCAGTCATTCAACATGTGCAATGTTTTAACAACTTCAGGTTCCTTAAATATAAATGAAGTACAGTTTTAAACCTCAGAAATTTTCTGAATTGCATCGAGAAAAATTCAGATCAAGCTAAAAATTAGATTCTAAACATTACCTTCACAGTTAACATGGTTTTAAATATTTCAGAAGATAACATTCACGTTCTATAATTTCTATCTAGTAGATGTTAGTAGACTGTGTTTTGAAAATAGACAAAATATTAAGCTTTTGACCTTCACCTTTTTTCAAATATATGAATGTCTACTTGAAAATCAGCTGATTTTTAACTTTTTTTTTAAAATGTAATAGTATGCAATTAATACTAGTTTTTGTATGACTTTTGATCAGTAAAGTTTACTTTGAGGTAGCTTCAAAGGGGAGTAACTCCTTTGAACAAGTAAATAATCTATATGAACATAAGTTATAATATCTTGAAAAACACCAACAATTAACTAAAGGAAAATATTAAACAAAATAATAATTATAGTAACCATGGTAACCAAACAGATATATATAAAATAACACAAAATATCTAAATTGTCAACACCATGCAAATAATTTGATAACATACAAAAATTACAAAGCTGGCAAATTAAATTTATGAATGCCACAACAAAAAACACGGCTATCACATAAATATAGCAAAAGAATGACTTCTGCTACAAAGAAATTCATGCCATCAAAATACGTTTCTAATTTCATATATATAACAAGAAATGATTGTAACAGGATGCTGTTACGAAGTCTCCCAAACGAAGCTCCAATAATTCGTAATTCCCAGGGTCGCCTGACATTGGACAAAGTCCAGTGAAAATTGGTTTGGTCCAGTAAAGTTATATGCATTAGTGACGCCTGGGGACTAACCCTGTATATCATTCAAATCATCTTGGCATGACAAACCAGAATATATATGGTTTAGGGATGGGGATCTCGACCATTTACAAGATACTAGAACATTAGGGGAGGGGGGAACCCCTGGAGACTGACCCTAAACGTCATTCAAATGTTCGAGACATGACGAACAGGAATATATATGGTTTAGGGGTGGGGATCACGATCATTTACAAGATATTAGAACTTTCTCAAATGACAGGGGGTCGGGATGACCCCTGGGGACTAACCCTGTATATCATTCAAACCATCTTGGTATGACAAACCAGAATATATATGGTTTAGGGGTGGGGATCTTGACCATTTACAAGATATTAGAACTTTCTTAAATAGCAGGGGGTGGGGGTGACCCCTAGGGACTAACCCTGTATTTCATTTCATGTGCTTCATCATGACAAATCAGAATGTATATGGTTTAGGGGTGGGGATCTCGACCATTTACAAGATATTTGAACTTTCTCAAATGGCAGGGGGTCGGGATGACCCCTGGGGACTAACCCTGTATATCATTCAAACCATCTTAGAATGACAAACCAGAATATATATGGTTTAGGGGTGGGGATCTTGACCACTTACAAGATATTAGAACTTTCTTTTAAGGCAGGGGGTGGGGTATACCCCTGGGGACTAACCCTGTATTTCATTTAATGTGCTTCATCATGACAAACCAGAATGTATATGGTTTAGGGGTGGGGATCTCGACCATTTACAAGATATTTGAACTTTCTCAAATGGCAGGGGGTCGGGATGACCCCTGGGGACTAACCCTGTATATCATTCAAACCATCTTAGAATGACAAACCAGAATATATATGGTTTAGGGGTGGGGATCTCGACCACTTACAAGATATTAGAACTTTCTGAAATAGCAGGGGGTGGGGGTGACCCCTGGGGACTAACCCTGTAGTTCATTTGATGTGCTTTATCATGACAAACCAGAATGTATATGGTTTAGGGGTGGGGATCTTGACCATTTACAAGATACAAGAACTTTCTTAAATAGCAGGCCTAGGGGGTGTGGGTGACACCCCGGGGGACTAACCCTGTATATCATTCAAACCATCTTTGCATGACAAACCAGAATATATATGGTTTATGGGTGGGGATCTTGACCACTTACAAGGTATCAGAACTTTCTTAAATGGCAGGGTTTGGGGTGACCCCTGGGGACTAACCCTTTATTTCATTTGATGTGCTTTATCATGGCAAACCAGAATGTATATGGTTTAGGGGTGGGGATCTCGGCCATTTACAAGATATTTGAACTTTCTCAAATGGCAGGTGGTCGGGATGAACCCTGGGGACTAACCCTGTATATCATTCAAACCATCTTAGCATGACAAACCAGAATATATATGGTTTAGGGATGGGGATCTTGACCATTAACAAGTTATTAGAACTTTCTTAAATGGCTGGGGGTGTGGGTGACCCCTGGGGACTAACCCTGTATTTCATTTAATGTGCTTTATCATTTAGAATATTTTCAATTAAAAAGATTGTGTCTATCACAAACGGTTTTCAATTTATAATCATTTGAAAATTTTAAAAAATAAAATCCCATAGGGTTCTATAGTAAAACCCTCCTTTCTTATTGTCCCTCAAAGTACCCCTTTATAAACCCCATTGCACAAACAAAACCCTGATTGCACCACTAGACATGTTAGTCTAACATATTGTGAAACCCTAAGTTAATCTGACAAGCGGTTTTGGAGAACAGGTGCGGACAAGTTCAAATTTAAAAGTGGCGGAAGAAGAAGAAGAAGAACTGAGCAAAACCAATAAGTCTTCCCAAACTTCGTTTGGGAGACTTAATTACCAGTTTGATCGACAGGCGTTTGTACTGAATACTGATCTTTAACAGTAAAAAAATCACATGCAATAGAAAAATAGCCACTTAGGCAAATCATACAAAAATTAACATGCACTAGATATGCTCATTACATGAATGTCATTTTTTTGCCAATATGGCTGTCATCTTTTTTTCTTGTAAAATTTGACAAACAAAAAATATATCAATGATTATGACTAGTTCATAATTGGCTAGTAAAAAAACAACAACAGACTGTATTTTCTGTTATTAAAACAGAAATCCAATATAACTTTCCTGAATTGTTAGTATAATTAACCAGATCTGCTTCGACATTCTGACCTCCACTACTTTTCTCTTTAAACAAACTGGAAACTATTCGTAAAAAATGCTGCTGACTGCCAGTAGTAGTCAGATATCCGCGTCAATCCAATGAACACTTCAAACTAAATGACTTCCTTCAAGTATGTGGATCAAATCCCTAATCCTGGAATCTGTGCATATCTGTAAATATACAACCGGTAATCCTTGCTCGCCAGAACTACCGATCCATCATCCATCAAGGACACATCGAAACATTGGGCATGCTTAACTTTGCTCTCCAATGCATTTATTAACTGTCCGTCCTGGGTGAAAATAGTCAGATTAAAATTGTTATGATTATCTGCTACAAGAATCTCTCCAGCACTGTTGATTCCTACTCCTATTGGGTAATTGGTTATACCCTCACCTCCAACTTGACGAAGATAGGCACCTTGATAGTTGAAAACTTTAACACAGTGAGCTCTGTTGTCACTGATGAAGATCTCTTCTTTGTCATTCACGACAACTCCATTTGGAAACTCCAGGTGTTTAGAACATCCAAACTTGTGAATGACATTTCCAAACTGGTCGAAAATTATAACTCGCATGACTTTACATTCTACAATAATGATTCTGCCTTTGTTGTCAACTGTAACGCCTCTTGGATGTTGAAGAATATTAGCTCCAAATTTACGTACAAACTGTCCATACTGATTGTATATCTGTATCTGATGGGTTGGACTACGTTCAGTAACAATGATGTCACCTGATGACTTGACGACAGAAACTCGATTTGGGTAAAGTAACTGTCCATCTCTCTTTCCGCACTCTCCAAACTGGAACTTAAATCTGCCTTCTTTGTCGAATATCTGAATTCTATGATTATTTGTGTCGGCAACAATTATGTCATTCTGTGCGTTTACAGCTACACCACTTGGTTCTGTAAATTGTCCTTCCATCACTCCAAATTCACCGAACTTGCAGTGGTAGATCATTTTTTGACGTTTGATCTGAGATTTTGGTGGATAGAGTCCGCTCAAATTAAGTTTAGTTGTCAAGTCAAACAAAGGATCAGCACTAGTTGAGAATACATCAATTCCATTTTGAAAGATGTCCAGTCCATTGGACCATTTCTCATACATATTGGTATCGTTTGCTGGGAAAACCAAACTATTCTGTGAACCAAATTCCTTGGTCAATGGTGGAGCTTCAAAGATGTTATGACCATTGGTAAGTGGTGGTGAAGTCGACACAAGCCCATTAGGTCTTGCAATCGGTTGAGGTTTCTGTACTGGTCCATTCATATCACCATTGCCTTCACGGATGTAGCCAAAGGTATTACGTACTCCAGCAGTTATTGCCTGGAAATTAGACACAAACTCAATATCTATGTACGATTGGTTGTTCAGATCTGGACAGAAATTGAACATGTTGTGGAATCGTTGCTCAACAAGGTTCTTGAACAGAAGGGCTTCTGTCACACTGGCATACTTTAAAATCTTTTCCAAGAATTCACAACCAAGGTACAAGCGATCTATGTTGTCTTGAATTTTGGTTGCAAGGCCACTAATGGCCACTTGCTTGGTGTTGTATGCTTGATCTAATTCTTTCAAGGACTCCTGTTTTCTCTCCTCTAACATGGCTCTGTAGAAGTTGTATGTATCGTTAATATCATTCTGTGCTTTGTGATACTGAACTTGAAGACGGCTCGACAGATGTTCGATACCTTTTGCTGACATGCGTAGTTCGTTTGCTTTAAGTTTGGCATCATTGTTTATATGCTGCATCATCTCCAGTTGTTTTTCACCGATATCCATAATAAACTGACAGTCATGTCCTCTCCCGTGATCAAACACGGTACATTCTTTACAAATGGGTTGCTGACATGTTTTACAGAAGAATTTGAGGACATCAGTTTTGTGTCTGGGACAATATATTGATTTCTCAGTCTTATCCTCTTTATTTCCCTGCAACTCGCTTAAACTGGCGACACGATGTCCCTCGAAACAATGCATGAACTGATGGGCCATGACACAGTTAGCACAAAGAAAGTTTGCACAATCAAAACATCGAGCCACAGCATTAGTATCTTTACTTTTACAGCCTGTACAATGTAAGGCACTCGTATCTAATGCATTCGTTTCAAGGAGATTACTGACAGCATAATCGGGAAGGAGTCCAGTTAAACCTTGACCTCCAAGGTATGTATCTTGATGACATTCTGGGCATGTGATTTTATCAGCTACTTCTTGTGTCTTCTCAAGACACGGCTGACAGAATGTATGAAAACATGTAAGAACTTTAGGTATGGTATATGTTTCATGACATATTGAACATCTAGTATTGGGTCCTGCATTTTCCATCTCACTATCTGATGAATTTGAGGTTGTTGATGCTGTTGTGACAGTATCACTCTGTGATGGAGTTGGAGAAGCCATAACTTTTATTTTCTTTCTATCTTTTGTTCAGTTTACTGAAAAATAAAATAAAAATACTATTAACATTTGAAATATCTACATTCTTAATACCTGACACAGGTGAAATGTACAGCACTAAATTATAACATTAAGAATAACAATTTTCAGGTAATAACAGTATTTTATATGAAATGTCTGATTTGCCATACCTATTAAGCCTCCTTACTTTGGTTTATATGTAATCAGGATTTCAGGGAATGTTTCAGATCTTCCGAATCATTACAATGCTTAAAGGAATAATAAATAGTTCCCATTCAAGACAGCAATACAAATGTAAATGTTAATTCCATACCCCAAATATAGTTAATCTATTGCTTATAAAACACACCCAGACACAAAAACTTAACATTGACCAATGAACCATGAAAATGAGGTCAAGGTTAGATGATACCTGATGACAGACATGAACACTGTACAACCATTCTATACACACACCAAATATAGTGACCTATTGCTTATAGTACTAGAAAAACATAACCAAGCACAATAAATTGCCTCTGAACAGTTGGGGCAAAAATGGACACAATATTCGCACTTGATACAGGTCTGAATTTGGATTGTAATTAAATATTTGACACATAATAGGTTTCTGACACATAATAACTGTAGTCAAAGAACTAAGAATTGGTTATATGATTTGAATTTATATTCAATTTTTTGCTTTTGTGCAATTCACTATGCTGGTGCCAATTGACCCCCCCCCCCCCCCCCCAAAAAAAAAATTGCTTATTTGGGCCCCTAATTCCTTTTGTGGTTATAAACCTTGTGTTTAAATTTCATAGATTTCTATTAACATTTACTAAAGTTATTGTCCGGAAACCAAATGTCTTCGGACGACAACAACGTGATACCAATATACTACCGCAAAATTTTTGCAATTGTATAAAAAGTCAAAAACTTAACATTGACCAATGAACCATGAAATTGAGGTCAATGTCAGAAGAAACCTGCCAGACTGACATGTACCCCTTACAATCATTCCATACACCACATTTAGTTGACCTACTGCTTATAGTATCTGAGAATCAGACATAATCACGTAACTTTTAACCTGGATCACTTATCCATGAAATGAGGTCGAGGTCATGTGAACCCTGTCTGACAGTCATGTTGACATTGCAAAGAACCCATATACCAAATATTGTAATCCTATTTCTCATTATAATTGAGAAATTCACACAACAAAAAACCATGAAAATGAGGTCAAGGATAATGGACATATAACAGACAGAAACTTTGTAACATAAGGTTTCTGCAAACAAGGTACGAAGCATCTAGGTCTTCTACCTTCTGAAATATAAAGCTGTATACAAATAGTATACGCTGCAGGAGAGTTATCCCTAATGTATCGCATACTGCAACTTTTAGGGCATGTGAGACAATAAAATGGTTTTTTTTACACCATTTTGAATAAAATTTAAATACTGTATCCATTAATTTATTATTTTAAAATTCTCAATTAATGTTGAAATTAAATAGCAATACAGTAACATGTAAACTATGCAAAACTTTCAATGTCAATGAACCAAGACTGAAAGTGCAGGGCCAAATACCTCCATGAAAATTAGAAATGGCAATGCTAATACAACTGCATACCAAATATCATTGACTTATGATGAGTAGTTCCTTTGAAACTGACCTAAACACAAACTTCATACATTGAACATGTAAACTGAAGAGTTTCCAAAGCAATGAACCATGATGAGGGGTCGGGACTATTTAATATCCATGGAAATGAGACATGCATATGCTAAAACAACTTCAATCATACACTGACCTTATCACAAACTTAGCACGTCAACTAATGCAAGAGTTTCAAAGTCAATAGACCATGACTGAGGGGTTAAGGCCCCTAAAGATTTGAGAAAGTTATTGAATATAGGATCGTTATGTGTCACTGTAGTTCAGTGGTTATCGTTGGTTCATTTTCTGTCGTATTTGTTTATCGTAAATTGTTTTGTTATAAATTAGGTCGTTAGTTTTCTCAATTGAATTGTTTCATATTTTTCATGTCTGGGCCTTTTACAAGCCGACTATATGGTAGGGGTTTTTCCTATTGTAAAAGGCTGTACCATTGCCTATAATTGCTTACAATCACTTCATTTGAACTTTGGTGGATAGTTGTTGCATTGGCAATCATACCACATTTCCTTATTTTTAAACATGTCTGAGTATAGGGGCCATATAATCTCCATGGAAACATTCCCATTCTTATACAACTGCACACAAAATATCATTGACCTACCACTAGTGGTTCTCCTTCAACTGACCTAATCACAAACTTTACCATGTAAACTAAGCAAGTTAATAGACCATGACCATGGGGCCCCTAGAAATTTGAAGAAGTTATTGAATCTAGGATTGCTATGTCTTGCTTTCATAAACGTCGCAGCCACGACAATAAAAACCTACAAAATTCTTTAAAAACCACAAGATTTTGACCTTATTACTAACGTTACAAGCATGCACTTGTAAGAATTGAAATTCAGGACCCGTTTTTGGGAAAACCTGATATATTTCTAGATTTTACCAATGAAAGATTTTTCAAATACTTTTTGTTGGGCTGATGTTTGCTCATTCAGATGAGTCATTGTAGTTTGTCTGGCAATGTATATTGAAAGTCTGCATACATTCCAAAGGTTGCAAGCAAGACAAAAACTACATGTATAAAATTTTAATAAGAGACAACAATAAATGGGGAATATGTGTCCATGGGAAACAGATGATGCCCCCACTTGCATATAACGTTATAAAGGGACATAACTCAAGAACTGTAAAAGTGACGCTACCCAAATGTGTACTTGATCTGAGTACTGTGGTAATAAGCCTTGTGTAAAAGTTTCATAGCATTTGGGAGGCAAACTGAAGTTAGAGAACCGAAACGAAAAATTCAGCAATTTTTCCATTTGTAAAGGGGCATAACTCTAGAACAGTAAAAAAGATGCCACCAAAATTCAAACTTGATCTGTGTTTTGTGGTAATAAGCATTGTGTATAAGTTTCATAACATTTGGTTGAGGCAAACAAAAGTTAGAGAATGGAAACGAAAAATTCAGCAATTTTTCCATTTGTAAAAGGGCATAACTCTAGAACAGTAAAAGTGACGCCACCCAAATTCAAACTTTAACTGTGTTTTGTGATAATAAGCATTGTGTATAAGTTTCATAACATTTGGTTGAGGCAAACTAAAGTTAGAGAACGGAAACCAACTTTGGGACGTACGGACAAGGGTATAACTTAATGACCCCTCCGCTATGGCAGGGGCATAACAAATCATTGAAATTGGTCAAGAAATAAGCAATTCATACAAAATATTAGAAAAGTATTATTTTTGGCCCCTCATACCTAAACCATAAAGGCCATAACCAACATAATCATAATCAAACAGCTGACAAGGGTAAAACTTAATGCCCCCTCCGCTACGGCGGGGGCATAAAAATGTGCGAGTTTAATGATCCTGGTTTCTTGCATGTACAGGTCAGTGTCCTGGTTTCTTTAATGTACAGGTCAGTATAATGTAACTAGTTTTAAACAAATAGTTGAACTTCTCTTACGGTTAAAATGTTTATTATCACGACTTATAGTTCAAAATTATGTGATTTGGTTTTAGGTTAAATCATAATGCAGTTGAATTTACTTCATTCAAATTTCACTCAATGTTTTGGTCAAATTGAGGTTACATTACATGCCCCTAATTTTGATTTAAGCCACCGACACTGTGTAACAACAATCTTTAGAAGTTAATACTTAGTGGTATACACATATTTCAATTAGGTAAATATTCAAAGTAAAGCAGCTTACAATGTATTTTGGTTTCTGAAATTCAGCAAAAAATTTAACAAATGACATGGAAGACATTTAAACAAGGGACACTTACTCCCTGGCTTGAACTGTGGAACACTGATGCACAATAAATCCCAATTCAGATATATAGAAATTACATGAAGAATTAATATATTCCATGTTTTTAAACACCATACAGTGGCCCTTTCCCAATGCATTTACAACCCAATCATGCTTATGTTTTCTTTTTCTAATTTCCATTTTTTGAACTTTCCATATATGCAAAACCTGGCTTCTTCTAATACAAATGTATATAATTGTACAAATGGCATAAAGTATATCTAATCAAGGTAACAGTACAACTAATCAAGGTAACATCACTTCAATTTCAATTGTTAAATAAGCAGTCTTTGTTCCTGTTAAAACATATTATTTTATCCAATTAAAGTATATTAAGTGTAAAAGTAGCCGTTTTATGATTAAACATTTCTAACCATTTTTACTACAATCATGACTCAATTTTTCTTTGTGCTATTTTCAGGAGCTAGAGTGAGTCATGATTCTTTGTTTAGAATTTTCTGATTCACCAACAGCATCAAGACATAGTTAGCTAAAGATTTTTTTATCAAGTGACAATGTTTATGAATAATTACATGTTCTCATTTATCAATAATTAATATTATTAGGAAAGTTGCCTGATGTTTATTGAACAAAGACCACAGAATGGAAGTTTTAGGACATGTAATAATGGGGAAGATGGTTTATCAATTCACAAAACAAAATCCTTACACACACTTGACAAAACTATATATAAGTAAAGATACAGTGTTTTGATTACTGTTCTTCATCTCAAAGCCATAGATGACCCTTTTACAGAAGGTAAAATTAAAGCTTAAAAATCCTTGGCATTTTTTCATATCTTTTTATTTTGATATAAAAATTGCATATTCTCATAATTAGAAAATCATAATTAGAAAAAAAGATGAATAAACTGAGCCACAAAATCTATACAACTGACAAAACCTAAGGCTCATTAAAAAGACATATATAAAATTGAGAATGGAAACAGGGAATGTGTCAAAGAGAAAACAACATATAAAATGTTGATCCTGACCACTGACCATTACATTTTTTATTAGAACTCCTTCAAAAACTATTCACTTATATTGATGTTATTGTAACCTCTAACTTGTTTTATTAATATACATGACAAA